AGGGAGGGAGGGAGAGAGAGAGAGAGAGAATCCCAAGCAGACTCCGTGCTGTCAGTGCAGAGCCTGATGTGGGGCTCGAACCCACAAACCATGAGATCATGGTCAGCTGAAGTCAAGAGCTGGACGCTTAACTGACTGAGCCGCACCCCCTAACCAGTTTTAATTATTAGAAAGTTCTTCCATCGGCAAAGCCAATTCCGATCCTTTACATTTCCCCCTCTGGCCTTGGCTCTGCTCTCCAGAGGACACGAGTGCCAGTACCTTGGGCTTCCTAGTTACCTTAACAAACAGCACTGCACTTCTCTCTCACACACTCACGGTGGCCTTGCACTGAGTGGTAAGGATGCAGCAGAGAAAAATGTTTATGTTCCAGTGGAAGGGAAAAAAAAAGTACCAAGATACAACGATGAGATCTATTGAAAGCATGTTACGCATATTACAAATAGAAAAGAGGGGCACCTTCTAGGCGGAGAATGGGAGACACTGAAAGGGGAAAGTGGGGTTGTTGGGAGCAGTGAGTGATCTGGTGTCCAACACATTCCAAAACATGGAGACTGAGTGTCTACAGAAGCGGCCGAGCACCGCGGTGCGGTGTGGCGAGGGCCCCCACCAGGGTGTGCCCAGGGAGCTGAGGGGGTGCGGGAGGCATGGGCACCTGTCTGCCCTGCTGGGGGGCGGAGGGGGGGCGGGGCAGGCAGGTGTGGCTTCTTGCGGGTGCCTAGAACATGTGTTTACGGCAGGTAGGGGAGACCGGAGCAAGAAGAAAGATCTGGAACTTTACGAATATAGACTTGAAGGCTGATTTTCATAAAAGGTTCCTCTAGGTCATAAGTAGGTAGGCAGCCTTACCTTGATCTCCCTAATGGATGCCTCCGTGTCGATGGAGATGGACGTGTCCCCGCTTCCCCTCCGGGAGGAAGTCCCGCCCAGGGAGGCCAGCGTGGCTGCCGACAGGCCGGGCAGGCTCCGAGACCCCTGCAAGGTTGCAAGGATCGAATGTGATTTCGTACGAAACCAACATTACTCGGGAGTCTACTGTTACGGAACTTTCACTTGAATTCAGTTTTCAATCGGGAAATCATCCATGGCTCCCAGAAAGCGATAAAGAGAGGTTCACTTTGAGGGGCCTCGTGGGTGCCTGGGAATTGGCCTGGATTAACCTTACGCTCTATGGTCGGGTCCACGGTGGACGCCTTTGCCTCTCTGTGGGTTTTAACACACACGCTACAAGTGAGTCCTGGGGACCCCTCACCGCTGTGATGCCGGCTGGTGGGCCACACACAGTCTTTATCAAAGATGAACCGACACGTTTTCTTGTTCATTTCACCCACACGTGTCGGGCCCCTCGTCGTTCAGCAACGACACCACATAACGGCTTACGGAAATTCCTTACCTTCTCAGTGAAATCTTTGTCTGGTCTCTCTTCAACCTGTGGAGGAAAGTGGACAAATTACTAAACACTTAAGATCACTGAGCGGGTAACAGGGATTTAAGGGGCACGCGGGTAACAATAAAACATCAGCTTCCTTTGTGATTTAAAAACTACTTTGCCAACGAGCACCCGCGGAGATGATTCTGCCAGGCGGTGCGGGCGCGGCGGGGGCTCACGGGCAGCTTGGTGGGCCAGCTCGAACTTCGCTGTGTGGTTTTTCACCGATCTTAATCTCCAGGTGGACACAACAGCTAAAGGACACCCACGCTGACCGCAGAAAGCCTCGTCATCAGGGATCCGTTCATGAACTGGACAGGCTTCCTTCACAGATTCCACAGTTGTGCGTGCCGGTCCCCGATGTGGGAGAGGATGACAGGCGCCCAGCTTGTTCACCGCCCCCCACATTACTATGGTTACAGAGGGAGAGCAGGACCAGGAGCCTCTGGGGCTGGAAGACGCGACCAGAGTCCTCGTTTTGACTCCCGCTGCCTGGGTCTCCCAAGCGAGAGGAAGCAGCGGAACTGGTTGGAAGTTTTCCTACTTCTCATGAGTAACAGAGTCCCCATGAAGACTCTGGTTTAACCGTCTCGGGACTGATGCCCAGATGTGGGGAGCTGGCGGAGGGGGGTGAAGGCACAGGAAAATCTGCCAGGTGAAAAGTGAGACCCCCTCCCCTCCAAATTTGGCTTTTACGTGTCTCCCGTTTACACGCGTCCCTGAGGTCGCTCTGCCCCTTCCTCAGGCAGGATCCTGTCTCAGTGGGACCCAGGGCATCACCCCCAAGGGAGACCCTGTACCTCAAGGGTATCTCAGGGTCAGCAGGCCGAGGCTGGCACCGCTCCTACTTCCTCCTTTGCTGAGCGTCCAACAAAGGGCGACTGTTTTCATTTTTGTGCACGCTGAGCGCTCCTTGCCGCGAGCGCACCGGGAAGGTCACGGTGGGTGAGAGAACCTGGGGCTCGCTTGTGTCCAAACCTCTGGGGGAAGCTGACAACGAACCATGCCTTTCCCCTCACGTCTCCGATCCTCCTTCCTGCGGCTCAGATGTTCCTAAATTTGACCTCCAGGGAGCCGACCGCAGGTGCACGTGACGAGCGCGGGCCACGCCTCTGACTCAGTAGGCCGGATGGCGATCAGGGGCTCTGCAGATACCCTGTATGCTCACACCGCAGACCGTCCGAACTCAGGCTGAGGAATCCCGACAGAGCTGGGCCGGAGGCCACGGCAGGGTGGCTCGTGGACATACAAACAGCCCACCGTGAGGCTGTGCACAGGAGAGCCCGAGGGCGCAGGGGCGCCTCAGTAAAGGCCGCGATCTCTCGTAAGGACGAATGATCCCTGTCTTGGGCCCACCCTGGGCCCACACGGGGCCGGATGCCCACGGCCTCACCATCCCGTCCCCCGCCGGCAAGCCTCACTAACAGCCACCTTCTCTCCTCCAAACCGCTCACGCCTTCACCCTTCTCTGCGAGGGCAGGACACCTGAAGCCAACAGTAAAAGAACACAGCAAATATAAGAGCGAACCAGACAACCAAGAGGCTGCCGTGGAATCCTACAGAATACTCGATCAATCCAAAAAAAGGTAGTTTCTGGAACCAGCTCTCAGCTCGGCCAAGCTCAAGGGTCTCCTGCTCAACAGACCCCAGTTCAGCCCCGGGGTCTTGAAGCGACCACATCTGGTCCCCCCCCAGGCCCACCCTTGGGTCTCCAGCGAGAACCTTCTACCCTCATCTCGCTGGTCTCCTTGCTGTCGTGAGAGCAGGGCAGGAAACGTGAGCAAAGAGGTCAATCCTCAGGCCGGGGGGATGGACCAAAGAGCAGACTGGCCTCCCTCCCAGTTTGTTAGGTGAGCCCCGTGGGTGGGGGAGGGGGCCTTTGGGACTCCAGTCCTCCCCCCGCCCACAGGCCTCTCCTTTCCACTTGGCCACAGCCGGCGGCGCTCCCGGGGCCAGCGCGAGCCTGTGTGTCTCACGGGAGCCTTCCAGGCAATCTCCACCCCATGTGCCCTTTTCCTTGATGTGGCCGGGTACACACTCTCCAGCTGTGTGCCACAGCACCTGCCGTTTGTCGGTATGCGTGTTTGGTGTGTGTAAACACGTACACCTACGATCATTATGTTTGCAGATACGGATGCCACGTCAGCCTACTGCGGATATCCCGGGGCGGTCTTTGCTCAGGACGGTTCTGTCTCCCCGTCCCTGGCAGAGCCCCACAGAGCCCTGGGCCGATGTGCTGAGTTACGATGATCTAGCATTTCAAGTGGGGCTCTCCTCTGCCCTTGGGAATAAAAATCTTCCTGAAAACTTCAAATCACTCAAGAAAAGCGGGCTATATAGCGACTGGTCTGCAGGGGAATCAGTTTATTAAGTCTCCCGGGCCCGACGCCTTCATTCCCTAGAATCAGGTGGTCTGCAGAACGAATTTTAATGAAGGTAAGGAGGGTAATTTAACTGCTGGTCGAATACGAAGCCCGGTTTAACAGACTGTCGAGCCACCGCTGAAAAGTCTGCTGCCTTTTTGCTCTGCGGTTTGTGTAGAATCCCTTCCGACCACTCACCAGCAACAGATAAATATCATATGTATACACGAGACACCAGAAATTCTCTGTTCACCCACAGTAATATCGGCGCCTATAAAAGAAGGCCCCGCGGTTTTTAGTATTTCCTGTAATAAAGAGGAGAGAGAACGTGCACCGGGGCGTGGGGGTCTTTAACACAGCTTTGTTCTGTGCCGTTTCACCTGATACCGTCCACGTAAACGTTATTTTTGTAATTTGCAAGACATCAAATGAGACAAAACACCTAGGCTGGCTCTTTAGTTTAAAAAAAGTTCAAAAATAGTTTTAAAAAAGCCTTTGTTCGAAACACATGATGAACTCAGAACGTGGAAATTTCGGATGCGTCTAGAGTAGAGACCAAGCGAGGAAAAAAGGAAGCCAGTCTCCCCTTAACCGTTGCGTCCCACCTCTCGTGGGCATGTCGGGGTGGGTGCCGCTTTGTGTTTCTGAGTGACAAAGGACACGTGTGTTTGCCAGCCCTCCTGAAATAGAAGTACGCGGAAAGCGCCACCGAGGCAGGAGCCATCGCAGTCCCCTCAGCTGCCACCAGATGGCAGCCTGGACAGAGCTGATTGGGGCAGGTCCTGGAGACACAGGCACCTGCACTCACTTCACACAGCCCTCCTCACCTTCTCCTAAACAAAGGGACAGACGAGTCACCTGGGGGGCCGTGGGTTCGATTTTGACAAAAACAGTGCACTTTACCTCTGAAAGTAATATGTAGAGAAACAGAATTGAAAAACGTGAACACTGTCCTAGCCGCCGCCAGACGCGGTGTGGGGGGCACCACGGTGTACACACGGAGCAGAGAGGGACCCAGGAGATGCTGTCGGGCGCACCCACTGCCAAGGCACCGGGGTGCATGCGAGCCTGGGGCCTGGGACGAGCCGCAGGGCCTCCCTGAGTCAGGGCAGCCTCCGGGAGGCCGGCACCCCGTTACTCCCCCGTGCCAAGCAGTTCTAAACATTTCAGGTCAGCGTGAAATGTTCACAGCAACAGATTTATGAAACGTGTGTGCCAGGATTTTACAATCACCACTGAGCATACACAAAGGCCTCTTCTGAAGTCTACTAGAAATAGTCACTTCTGAAAAATTTCTGTTGAATTTTAAATCATGGCAACTCTTCCCTCTCACACACAAGTGCTCACAGCAGCACGTTAAATGTTTTATTAGTTCCAAGCTTCCAGCATCGTGTCTATACGAGCATGCCAGCAAGGCTCGCTCAAACGGGACGTCTGCCAAGGCCTTCCCTGTCCCGACCTGGACTGCCCGGCTTCCTTGAGACAGAATACAACGTGTGGGCATGGACGGGCTCTAGCAGAGGGGCCAGGCACAATGGAACTTTCCCCATGGTGTCCCCGACCCCCCAGGCGGGCAACCCTAGAGCCCGGATTGGAAACAGGACCACAGAAGCAACGTCAGCACACGGTCCCTCTTGACAAACAAAGGGACACTCGTGAACACTGCTCAGAAAACACCCACGTTCAGGGTAATTTTCCTTCAAATATAAATAAGCAGTAAAGTCTTCCATTGGCGTGGAGATTTCCGCTTTTCATGCAATCATTACGTTCTCCTGAATGACTTCTCCTTGAACTCCTGTATTCACAATGCATGACCTCTTTTTCCACCTGGTCTCCGCCCCTGCCTCTTCATACAATGCAGAGGAGGAGTCTACAGTCTTGTTTTTCTAGCTCAAACCGGCTGCACGCTCCGTCACTCGTGTTTTCTCTACATGCACACAGGGGGACATGAACCGGGGCTCCGCTCAGGACATTTCTGATGGATGCTTTAGAACCTGGGCAGCTTTCCCTGGGTTCCCGGAAGGATTCCGGGGCCCCGACGACACAGATGTGCGGGCTGCACCAGCTGAGGCCCTCTGCTTGCGTGGGCTCCAGGCCGGGAGTACCAAGCCTCCTGATTCCAACTCGGAAAGCTTCCTGCGTCTGTCCCCAGGAGTTTTACATTGTATGTGTGCTGTTTGCTGCCGGCCTGTCTCCTCCAGTCAATGCATCCGTGAGGGCTGGGAAAGGTGCGTCTGCTCAACACTGTAGCCCTGTGCCTAGAACATTCCAGGTACTCAATAGCTTCCTCAAGGGGAAGACCCCAGACTTGCTGGAGAAGAACATACAGCTCATGTATAGAATGGGAAAAATGAGAGTAAGGTCAAAGACATGTCCTGAGACCGGGCGGGCGCCCTCTCTGCTTTCCTACAAGGCCAAGAGGACCAAGTGGTGGGTGATGTCTTTGGATGCCGAGGCACCTTTCTTTTCAAGTGGGACAAGTTATCACTTCTTCCATTCTGGTTACTTTTCCTCTTTAAGAGTGCCCCCTCCCCCATCCCCTGGTGCACCAGGCTTTCTTCCACACCCAGCCTTCTAGAATTGTCCCTTCCTCCCCTCCCCATCCTATCTCCTTCCTAGAGAGACTCCTGTCCCCTGTCCTCCCTCACATTCCCCGCCTCCCCCCCCCACCACATTCCTGATGAGTCATCAGGCCATGGATCAGGGGCCACCGACCGGCAACAGCAGGGATGCAAGTGACCAGTCCCTGGTTCTTTGGGCGCCCAGATGGAGCTGGAGAATGGCCCGTCACACACAGTCTGCGAGATGCTGACCTTTGCTCGTTCAAAGTGTCAACAGTGTGATGATCCGCTGACCTTTGTGAATGAGCACTTCACTCAGGGAAGGGAAAGGAGGGTTTATGTGTTTGTAACGAACTGGGAAGTTAGCTCAGCCTCCCGCACTGTGAGCTCTTCTGCCCACTTTCCCTTCGGAGCTCGGGGAAGCCACAGGTAAGGACAGTTACGTTTCCTTGGCTGTAAACACACAGAATTAAGACGAGGGAGCGCTTTAGAGTCAGGGGGGCCCTCACAGCCTCTGTTCCCGTGGCTTTTCCCCGTCAATGGCGCCTGGAGAGGCTCCCGAGGGTGTGGGCTCCGAGTCTGGGCGCAGCTAGGTCACACGGAGGCTGTCCATCGCTGGTCACCAGGTCCCAGAGGCACGTTTAATGCCCACCTCTCTGGTTACGGTGACCCACTAAACCCATTGTATGTGGGTAAAATTTTTCACAAACATGGGAAGCATATGGCACAGAAATTTGTATCTGATCCCAGTCTCCTCAGTCAAAGGGACTAGACAGAGCCCCGTTATTCTGTGACTTCATGATGTCGAAGAAGTCAAATAACCGTGGCATTTACAGCTCCATGCGTCCCAGCGGTCACCCCAGCGTTGTGCGAAGGGAGCCCGGGATCCTTCGCAAGCCAGGCCACAGCCACCTTCTGCCAACTGCAAACACTTTCATTGGTTTCCAAAGGGTGAGCGAGCGTGCGAGGGTATCGTGCCTAGGGAAGAGTGACTTTCCGCTAAGTTTATCGTGGGAACGTTTTATTCCCAGGGGTTCTAAGGCTGCACGTGGCTGAGCCTGTATCTGCTGCGCTACCCCAGGCCACGAAGCACACCACGAAGAGCGGACATAGAGGGTGGCGCACCGTGGCCTCAGTGAGCAGGGATTCCCTAGTTCACAAGAACTGCTCTTGGGTCACTCATGGACGACCCATAAAAAGCAACCTGCCCGATTTTAAAAACCGAAGCTACGTGACCTTGAACGACGACGATCTTCCTGTTCCTGCAACTGGTCCTTGTGGGGGCGTCTGGCCCCCACACCCCCCTGCGAGCACCTGAGCTTTCGTTCAGGCCATGGCTTCTCCTATTCTCCTCAGCACCCCTCTCCAGGATGGGGGTGCTCAAAAGGCCGTGAGGGGGGCTCAGGGGGGTGTGCGAAGCGTGTGCAGAGGCAGGTACAGGCACCTGTGTCGACACGGAGTGGGGAGTCTTCATTTCCACAAAGAAGCAGGCTCTCCTGCTAGAATCCTCATCCCTTTGGTCTATCTCTTGTGTCCTCATCCTCGACCGCACGCGCTCAGCTCCCAGGAATCCCTTTACTCACTTCCCCAGAAGCAGCTGGGATCTGTATTTGCGTGAAACCGGTGCCCAGCGGCACATCTGTGCAAGCGGGAGATCTCAGCCCCACGGCCTCTTCTCTGATTAGCAGGAACGCTTCCTAAATTTCAGGCATCAACACATCTAATCGTGGTGTTGTGTAACTGAGTTAAGAACCGCGTTCAAGCTTCTCCCTAAGTGGGGAGCAGAGCAAGGGATCCACTTTGCCCATTTTGCCTTCTTATAGCCGGGGTTTATCACGGAGGGTGCCACCGTCCTCTGATGTGGCAATCCTTACCGTGCGGGGCGGGCATGCATGCCACACAGCCCCAGCTCCTGCCCACCGGACACTATGCCTGCCCACTTCCCAGATGTCCTCCGGGCAACTGCCCTGCACGGCCTTCCTGTAAAGAGACTGCGTGGCGGCCTTGTACCAAACGTCTGAAATTGCAAAGACCCTGGGAAAAATACGTAACAAGGACACTGAAAGGCTGGGGACTAGATGGTGAGGAACAGGAGGGCAGCTCTGTAGTTTTCTTTCTTTTCTAAAAATTTTTTCAATGTTTATTTTTTGAGACAGGGAGGGAGAGAGAGAGAGAGAGAGAGAGAGAGAGCATGAGCAGGGGAAGAGCAGAGAGAGAGGGAGACACAGAATCCTCTGTCAGTACAGGATTGTCAGCACAGAGCCTGACACGGGGCTTGGACTCGTGAACTGTGAGATCATGACCTGAGCCGAAGTCAAACGCTCAACCGACTGAGCCACCCGGGTGCCCCTGCAGTTTTTCGATACTGAGCAACTGGGGGGCAGGGCAGAGCTAGGAACACCACGACCCTTCTAGGCGATACTTGATTTTAAAAACTATCTGGGTCTGGTAATAGACGACATCACAAACACAATATTAAAAACCAATCCTTCCAACTTTTCACTCATAAAAAAACAACACGTTAGTACGCCTGGTTACATTTCCCCCCACTGGACAAAGTTTCCCTCCTTCCCAGGAAGACCCCAGCCCCAAGCACCGTTAACTTCTTGATAACCGCTAACTTTAGATATTGAGCAATGCAATTCTGGTATCACGGAATAGTAATATTCCAAATTTGGGAGCATTTTCCCCAATTGTGTCTTTGCTTAGACCTGAAATAAATCTTAGGAAAGCCCTCCCACTTTATGCTGGGTTTAGGTTTTTGGAGGTGGAGGGTCCCTTCTGCAGGACAGCGAGGTAGAGGGCAGAGGGGAGGAGAAGGGACGAGCAGGATGGTGGCCGAGCAGGACAGGACAGGACGCACACTCACCACTGGGCTGGCCCGCGCCGAGCTGGCTCTGGAGGAGGCTCGGGAGCTGGAGTTGAGGTGGCCGCCGCGCTCCGAAGGCTGCCCGCGCAGCCCGCCGCCGGGACGCAGACAGAAACAAAGGGACAGGGTCAGCAGGGATCAGCGACAGCGGAGGCCCCCACCAGCGGCCCGTTAGTAGAGGTCAGCCACGTGCAGTGCGGAAAAGACAGGGGTGAGCACGGACACCAGGCTCCCCGTGAAAAGGAAGGCTGTGTCTCCAAGCTTCAAATAAAGGCCCGCGAGGAACAGAAAAAAAAAAAAAAAAATTAGTCCTAGTATCAAAAGGACACAGAATTCCTGGGGAGCGAGAAGAAAGTAACACAAAGCGTCCGTTCAAGTCGGCTGTGGAGTCACACCTGCTTGACGCACAGAAAGCCACCTCGTCCACGCGGACAGGTCTGTGTATTTGAGAACATGAGTCCTTCCACTCGAGCACAGAAAGTGACCGCCGGACAGGGTGCTTGGCTTTTTTAGCAGGGGAGAAGTTTGCTTTCTCTCTCATTCCAAGTGAAAACAAGGTAAGATTTAGGGTTAATACCAAATCAAGGCGTGGCCCAGATTGCCTGGTCTGGTGGCCTGAACGAAGGTGTCAGTCTGCCTGCACTTCCTCTCTTCCGGGAAAGGAAAACACAGCAAGTAGCCGATCTGGAAGCTTCTCCCTCTTAACTTCGATTTTTATTCACCTTTGTTCCAGCCCTAGACACGGTGCCATGTGTTTTTGTTCTTGTGTTTTCAAGTCTTACTGGCCTCTTGAGCGAGGTAGGAGGGGAGAGGGAGCCGGGAGGCAGGATTCGAGCACGCACATGACTGAGGACCGCAGTCAGCCAGCGGTCAGTGGCGTGGCCTGAGGGACGTCGTCCCAGAGACCCGCGCAGCCCAGCGGTGAGCCCCTCCATCCAGCCCCCCGGGACACCGTGCACCCTGGCGGGAGCGGACTGTTCTCTGCCCTGCCCGCACGGCCCCCCGGGGACGTGCAGGCCTTCTCCCTACTGCTGTGCTCTAGGCACAGAACTTCAGAGGTGCTCATGATTCTCATCTTAAACACCACCTTTCAGCTGGCACATCTTTCCACCAGAATGTAATCCCCTGAGGACAGGGTCTTTGTCTATTCCCTGCTGAACTCCCTGCAGGGACCGGACGAGGCCAGGCACAGGGTGCACTTAAGCAATACTTGTTGAATGAACAAAACCAACTTCAGACTATAAGCAGCCAGACCCACCCTACCCCATCGTCCTTCTCGTTTCTTTACCCCAATAGTATCTATTGTATACTTACGCTTACAGGTGCACAGAAAATACAGCCATACGTACACCCTGTGCAAGAATCACAACCACATTTGGCATTCACAAGAAACTCACCACCATTCCTAGTCTCACCTTTTGCTTTATTAGTCAACATAAAAGTAAATACCCAAGGTCAGTGCTTTAAGGCAGAAGAATTTTGCTTTTGGGTTCACGGTCACAAGCCAGAGGAAAACTGTCTCTAACAAATCCTACCGCGTTCTAGGTCATTCATGTCCCAGTTCACCATGCAGAGATAGGACAGGTTGTGGTTGACCAGGCTTTTTGCTGGCCCACGTTTTTCCAAACGCCTAGTCAAAACCGGCTCTCAAGTCAACTGACCTGATCTCACAGGGAAAAGTAAGTTTCAGGTCAGTATCACCCGGGTCCAGGTGCCACCTTCTGAGCAGCTGGTGTCTGAGAGCCAGTGGGGCTGATGCGGGGCTGATGTATATTATAAAGATCCTGTCCAGGCCTCATCTCTTACTGGCCATGGGACCTTGGAAAAGCCTGTGACCGGGGACATGGAATCGTAAGGACACTGGCCACACAGAGGTGCCAAGGATTATGGACATCACTCTCTTCCCCGACTTCACTTTCTGCTACAAGCAACTTGCACGCTCCTGGCTCAGAGCGCACTGGTGGTGATGACTGCTCCCCAGCGTGTCAAATTAACTCCCGCCAGTTCACTCATGGCCACGAGTCCTTCCCCCACCTCACACACACACACCTTACGGATGTTGAGGAAGGTATAAAATAGAAAGGTTTTCAGGCAAAACAACGGTACTTAAAAGTGAGCCAGTCATTTAGTTGTTAAACTGTAATTAAGTCATTTAATTGCAAACATGCACGGCAGTGGAGCTACCTTCCTGGGGAGGCTAAGAGAAGCTGGACGCTCTGGAGGTGGGGACCAGCGTCCCAGAGCGGGATCAGGACCACCCTGTGCAGGCGGGGGGGTCAGCCTGGACTCAGGTCGAAACACAGGGTCCCCCCCCACTCCACCCTGCATTGCAGGACAGGATGTGAGGGATTTTCAACCCCAGGGTCCAATCTGTCCATGGGGGGCTCTTTCTGCATGGGAGTGCAGTGATAAGCGCAGAAAGAATTTGTTTTTGTTCCCTCTGACTTCTTCGGCATGGTTTGATGCCAGGGACACGTGGCTAGATTTTAGACATTTGTGCTGTCAGGACAAGAAGACCTTTCACTTCCTTAAACTTCCCGAACCCCATGGCTCCCAGGTGGTTCCTACAGGAGGCAGAAAGCACAGAAGTAAGAGTGCTCAGCGACGCCCCGGTAAGAATGGGGGAGGGGCGGCTGGTCTAAAAGTCCACCTGCAGAGGCCATATAGAAGGAGAGTGGATGGGACACACATCCTGCCTGATCCGAAGTTCTACTTCGGTCACAGGAAAACTACCCAGGGCTCGCGACAAGTTTCATTCTCTTGGAGAATTAGTATGTTGTCTCTTTTCTGATAAAAGAAAACCATTTCGTTGCACTTTATCCATCATATGCAGGCCAGAGCTAATGCACGCATTAGGCGTGATCTGTGAGCTTCTTAATGGCCTACAGACATGTTTAAGAACTGAGAAAAAGACTTAATACAGTGGGCTCCACCCCATTTAAAATGTTATGTAATAAGGGTGTCTGGGTGGCTCAGTCGGTTGAGTGTCTGACTCTTGATTTCGGCTCAGGTCATGATCTCAGGTTCTGTGCTGACAGGGCTTGGGATTCTCTCTCTCTCTCTCTCTCTCTCTCTCTCTCTCCCCCCACTTCCCCCACTCGGCTCTCTCTCTCTCCATCTCTCTCTCAAAATAAATCTTAAAAAGAATAAAATGTTATGCAATATAAAATAAATGGTTAATTAAACGTCAACAAAAACCAATGCTGCGTCAATTAATTATTGGGTTTCGATATTTATAAAAATTACATTCTGGAGAAGCCTGTAGGTTTGATTGGCTTTGTAAGGATTCCTAAATACTCATGAAATACAGTAAACCATAAATTGGATTATTGAACCACTTAAGTAGCCAATTAACACCAAAAGCAACATTATAAAAGCACTTTCAAGCAGTGGTTAGCAAGCCATTATATTTCACATGGGGCCTGGGTACATTTTCCCAGGACCCAAGGGGGAGCCCTGGCAGGCAGAAGGACCCGTATGGTCAGTTGCCATTCAGTTTCCGCGGCCCCTCAAGATGGGCCAACTGGTTTCCCGCTTCCACGGACTGACTCCATTTTTTCTATCTTGCTTCCCTCTTTCATTCATTCACTCGTTTTTTTTTCATTCAGCAAGTATTTCTTGCACGACTAGCTACACCCTTATGTGATAGCCAAGTCTGTCATTTCAAATCCTTTGAAGAGGTGGAAAGACGGCAAAATAAAAGGAAATTATGTACGTGTAACATCCTGAGTCTCTAATAAATCTGTTCATCTTCCTCAAGTATCCAGAGGTGAAAATAATTTGCAGCCTGTGGAACTCCCCTCTTCTTCCTTTTATTATTTTAAGGGCACCTCACTACTTATTAGTACTGTCAGCGTGTGGCAAGAAAACAGCGGATGAAACTCAGTTGAGGTGGGTCTTCTCCCTTGAACTCAATGTAAACTGACGTGTGAGGACACAAACCCGCCAACCAAAGGCTTCGCGATTTGCATCATCCATGACCCAGCCTCACTACAATGGGAAATTGAGATGAGACAGTGTTTCCTCCCTGTAACTCTGGTTAGTTATCTCCAGGGGTTGGGACTGTGCCCGGTAAGCCAGTCAGGGTCATGCAGCACACGGGAGAAAATTCGGAAACCACAGAAAATGCCTTACAGCACAGGAACCGCAGGCACTACCCCGCCGTGTCCCGCCGGGACCGATGTCATCGAACACAGATGCCTGTGACAAAAACAGACTGTCAGGTCAGGGAGCCCTTCCCTTTCCACCGGCGCCCAGAACACAGGAAAAGGGAAGCTAAGGAGGTCTGACCCGAGAGAAGAACACGTTCGGAACAAATCACGATGGAAAACAAGCAGGGAAGGCCTTAAACCACCCACAGAGGCCAAAGCTGTACGCAACAGGGTCATGCGAAGATCTGAGAGAGAAGCGAGTTGCTGTTAACTGGCATGCAATGCAACCCCCCAGTAGCTCCTTGAAACGCATCGTTCTGAAAAAACGTTCCTTGCTAGGGAAAACCCTGTTAATCCAGATTTAAAGTGAGCAGATAATTCAAATACCCTGAATTCTGTCATGGCATCCTCACGCCTGACGTGCAGAAAATTATGCTAGTATGAAGAAACTTCGGGATACGGCAGTATGATAGCGATAGCTCAGTATTTTGTAATTCTTTGGAAACTGCTAACTAGAAAACAATACTTGATTAACCTGGAAATCTCACGTAATTAGGCACTGAAGGCGAATGGGGGTTTACAGGACTGTGCATGGCCACACCGAACTTTGCCCGGCTGAAAGGAGCTTGGATTCCCCTCTCTCTCCTTGAGGACACAGCTCGTTTGTTCAGCCAGTTATATATGCTAATTCTTAGGGGTGAATTCTGATGAAAATTCAGAAGCTTATTAGCAATACAGTAGAACTACTTTGTTTAGTGAGGGTTTCCTGCAAGGGGGAAGTGCCTTGTATTTAAAACTGGAAATTTACAAAGTCATGGAGTGCAATGGGTTAACATGTTGAGGTTACCAAACAAATCAAAAGCCATCTTTCTGCTAGCAGAGTAAGTAAATGATGTCTTTGCTCCATTCCTGGCTAATAATCCTATGCGAGCACGTGTCTTCCTGGAGCCTGAGGCAGTATGACAGCTAGGGGAGAAAGAATGCCCAGATCCAGCCAAAGGGGACTGACAGACATCACCGGTCCTAGAGGCTCCTGGTAAGGGGGGAGCTCTCAGGTGGTGACGCTGCAGACATGCGCATCCACACTCCCAGAGCAGGTGTGAGAGGTGCCTGGCCCCGAGGGGGCCAGTGGGGCCCGGATAAGTTGGGGGATGGGGCGGG